TAGTTGGTTATGAAACCAATTGTAATTCTTCTGTTTTATGTATGCTAATCACAATCATGAATTTAATGTAAGATTTTAATTTGTAAATTTCTCACAAACTATAAATATAATTTTTCGTATGTGATTCATTTTAGATTCATTTATTGACATTTAATCATTATTTTTTTATCCAACATCAGGGTTGGTGAATACTCAACAATAATTTGCCTTTCTTATTTTAAAGAGGAACCTGTCATCAACCTAAAATGTTAATATACAAGGTTTTCTATTATTAACAATAGATATAGCTAGATATATTTCATATGACATGAATATTCAGTATTCTTATTTAGCATAATTTAGATGATTAACATAATTTATATTATGCTAATAAAACCATAATGGTTTGTGTACATTTCCTGCTTCAGACATTCTTCCTGAAGCTATTGTACTACAAGCTGACATAAATGAATAAAAACTAGCCAATACAATGGCTTTATTGATGTTTCCATGGTTATAAAAAGTAATATTGGTATTCTATGCATATTGTTCCTCTCACTTAATCAGTGTGTGTTAATATGAAATTGCATTGTGTGTTCTGTCAACATTACTCGTGTGTGTTCTCTCCCCCAAGATGTTAATGTATTCTTCTGTCGCGTGCAGTATGGCTGATATTGTATTCAGCTCCTGATGCATTGGGTGTTCAAACTAGCTGCGTTGTTAGTATTGATGGTTTACTATGTGTTATCACCAATGGAAACAGCTCTCATGTTCATAATTTTTTATTTGCTGTGGGACTGAGACTTGTCGTGGCAGGATTCTCCTCTACTGCTATCTTGTGGTCATTATCGTTTGTTGTTCCTTGTTGGATTCAAAGCTATTTGCATGATCTCATCTATTATGCCTACTTTATTCTAATTAGAATGCCATATCTGCCATAGTCTGAAATTTACTACTCTGGCATATCAACATTAATGGGAATGTTTCCGCAGTGCAAATAGCGTACGGATTGCAGACCATCCACGTTTTCCAGCATTGAATTCTGCTGTATATTGCTGATCTATTTTGGTATTGATATATCCTAAGGGATTCAACATTGGCAGGATACCCACAGAATCTACAGCAGGTGTTGGAGTCGATCACAGTACTGGGCAGATTTAAGGAAATGAACACATGCTGTGTACTAGTTACAACAGTATGATCCTCTTGTTGTAGTTTCACTGTTAAGACAAATATCAAGTGAGCTTTAACCTATATACAAGCAGGGAGTGCCTGAGCCAGCATATCAGCTAGATTTGCATTTTATTGAGCTGTTCACAGATGATAGCTTATGGGTGGATGTGTGCTACTTTTATCATACTTATGAGGACGAGGGCTGAATTGAAGAGTAATAGTTGGTGAAAGAGGACACGGCAAGCCATGGAAACTACCTTTATTCCTGTTTACATGTGAACTTATTACATTTTGCTATAGAGGAGATACCATATTTTTGTATGGTGTTATTTTGTATCTGTAAATAGTATTATATATTGAAACTACAACCATGCCGGCTGCTCCAGTTGAAAATGGGAATCCTGCAAATGCTGAGCAAACTCAAGAGCAGGAACCTCCTATGGGAGTGGGGGACATCAAAATTCTCGAGGTAAAAAATGCATTATTGTGTGAAAGTGTGATTTTGTATAAATAGTTATTTTTTACTCTTTGCAGCACTGAAACATCTACAGTATCTGTGACGTGATGTCATTTTTAAGTTTCTCCAAATCTCCAATCGTTATCATTTGATTGATGATTGTCTTGTATAGAAAAGATTGATCACCACTTTTATTTGATGACTGAGGCAGGAAATTGTAAGATATATATGAAATTGAACTTTTATCATGTTTTCTTTTGAAAAATAAGCATCACATATTCATGTCATGCTGCAGGCTGGATATCATTGGTATAGATGCGTCATTACTGATCTCTTTCATCACAGTATACTGATGTATTACAAATCCCTTTGACATATCTCCTTCACTTTACAGTGTTTTTTAAATATGTAGATATTCAAAAAACATGACAAAATGTCAGTATATCTTAACATCTTGTCTTCTTTTGTTACCCCCCAGGAGATGAAACGAAAGAGTTTTTATTTTCAAAATCATTAGTAATTAAGAATTATCTGCCCTGTACACTTTTATTATTCCACTTAGTTTGTAGTGAAATAGAATGTCAAACTGAGCAGTAAATCAAAATTTAAAATCTCTTGAGTTCAGATAGTGCAAAATATTCATCCTTGTTTGTCAAAATTTATTAATTCTGACTCAATGCTAAAATTAGATGTGTCCATGAATACACCACATCAAACTTCATTGAAAACTTAACTCTAGGCTTACGTTGTCTCATTAAGAAAAGTGGGATTAATTTAATTGGATAAATTTTGCGTATTTGATGTCAGCTATGAAACACATCTGTATTGCCTATTAGTACTGTTTAAATAGCATGTTAATACTTTCTTTTGGCATTGTAAGCCTCATAGGAATAGTGCTAGTGCTAATTGAGGCCATTGTGTGGGTGTTTCCTGCTATCAGATGCCTTCCATTGTCTCACCTGCATGCCAATTGTATGAGGAAAGTCGACTAAACCTCTACTAAGGAGGCCAGTTTTAACAGGCTAGTTAATAACCAGCTTAGCTCTACTAATATCTTCAATAAAACTCTTTTGATGATCTCCAGTAATCAGTCTGATTTGCTGAAACTAAAAGTCTGCATGTAGTCCTTGTACACATTATTTCTTGTTGATTTTGCTAGATATTATCTAAATAGCGATAATCATTATTACTATAAAAATTTTATATTACACTATTAATCTTTCAAAAACACATAAACACAGAATCTTGAACACTAACATTAACGCCCATTTAAATATTTCAGTCTCATAGACTGTGATATTAATCATAACTTCAGTTTATTCTATTGAGACATTTCAATTATCTTCGTTTTTCACAACTGGAGCATCCTTTCACAGTCTTATTATCCCTGTATTGTGAGTAGCACAAATGTGTTTGACAAGGACATTGATAAAAATGTGGCACCTATATAGGGAATTATGTGGTATTAATTAATTGTCATTTGTCACAGGTGTATATGTTGTTGCATTCCTTGTTTTTTTAAATAAATGTCGCAACACATGGTCATAAATGCAACTTAATTGATGTTTTTTTCCTATGAAAAATATGTGAAATAAATATAGTTAATATATAGTTAAATGTCATATTCTGGTATGTGCCTGATTTCTAGCTGCAAATTGATCAGTACAGTATTTTGGATTTTTTGTTGTGAGAAGTGTTTCTTTTATGTTTGTAGTTATTAAGCCAAAGACAAATGACAAATTTATATTTGATAAACTACATACTGATATGTATGTGTAGTTTCCATAAATGTAAATAATAGTAATACATGTATAACATGTACAAGCTTTCAATCTGGAATATAAAAATGTATTTTTTTTTCATTTAGAGTTTAGATGAATACACAGCATGGATTAAATACATCATTTTCTTATAATCCTTTGTATTTAGATCCAGTGCTGAATTGTTCTTGAAATAAAATTTATAAAGCAGAATACAAAAGATCTGCTGTGAACACTGCCATTGATTTACTATAAATGTACTTTCCATGGGCAATCTCTAATCAAACAGTACTTGGTGCCTTTAGAATTCTACATTTACAGCATGGATAGGTATTATGTAAATCTGTTTGAAGTAGCATTGTGTTTCCGCAATTATCTTTTCCATGTTCTTCAATTCCACCTTGTATAACCTTTCCTGTGGGTTATCATTCCACTGACACTAAATGCAAGATTTGGTTTGGCAATGTGCTATAATGTTTACAAGAAAATACAATAGCTAACAGTGACCAGGAATAAAATAATTATTTTTAATGGATAATCTCATTACTTTTGGTGCCAAAGGATCATTCAAACTGAAGTAATAATTTCAAACAAATGTCTCTACAAAATTTGTTGCTACAAGTACAAAAAAGTATTTTTGTGGTTTATATTTTAAATGTAATGACTACTGATTTGGAACAAACATTGAATATGTCATGTTTATAGTCCTTGTTACTATTCAATTACTTGGAGACTTTCTGTGACACTACAAAAACAACATACCTCCTAGAATAATATTTCATTATCTCCTGTTTCCTTAATTCATTATGGAGGGAGAAAAATGATGTTTATCTGTTATTTTGTTGGACGAGTCATGATGGAAAATATCTACATGTTAATATGAATCAACATCCCTGGGGAGAAACATTCAATTACCTCACATGTGAGAAATTTTATTGCAATTTATATCCATTAATGTTGAAATTAATCCGCAAAAAGCTGCTTCACAGAAAGTTTCATGCATGGCATCAGACATAACAAATCATTTGCAATAAGAGAGAGAAAAGGTTATCTGACGATTTAATTACTGTAAAACACCAATGAATATACAATACATTCAACGCTTATATGAAAATCCTCTTGGGGGGGGGGGGGCTGAAAATATTGTTTCTTTTTTGCAAACTAAATACTCATAAATATATTTTCATTCACTTTCACACTCTTGAGAATATTTACTATTTAACAGCACCTATCTTTAATATTGTTTTGAAGTCATGTTGTAAGAATATAATGATGCATTCTTTTTTCAAACTGGACTCTTTGTGATATTTTCTGTTGCCATGTGAATTATAGTATAGCCACAGGAGAGTTTGGATATTTGTGATAACAGTAAGAAAGATTACGTTTAGAAGTATCAAACTCCATGAAAGGTGTTATTCAGTTTTTCTGTCAACTTAATTATTGAAATTATTCTATTCTATTCTATTCTATTCTATTCTATTCTATCTATTCTATTCTATTCTATTCTATTCTATTCTATTCTATTCTATTCTATTGAAACTATGCGTATGACATCCGATCTATTCTATCCTATTCTTGAATTTGTATTTTTTTTAAATTTGAAAATAAAACATTTATATTTTTTGTTTCAGTCCTTGGAGAGTACACGGCGTATGCTGCAGATGGCAGAAGAGGTTTGTAATAATGCCGTGTCTTTTTTACATTGTTTGCATGTTGTGCTGTGTACCCTTTTCCCTAATCCAACAATATTTTGATGGCTTTGTTTTCAATCCTGTCTCTGCAATGTTAAATCCATATGCTTAGCACGTTTTTTCTCAGAAATGAAGATTAGGTGTTTGTTAATGCTATAACACTTGAGTTGTTCATGGGAGTTAAATTAGAATGCATAAAATGTTTGTGTAGAATAACCTGTGTGTTAGTAACATCATTCTAGATTATGTTTGATTGACCGTTTTATTTAGACTATGTCTATGACATTAGATCTCCTAAGATGTACATCCACATTGTTCAAGGCACTGCACCATTAATGTGATTGGACTAATCCTATCCATAGTGCTTTAATTTAGAGTTGTATTCATCTCCCCGATGTACAGTGGGGTAATTTCCCATCAACGTTGCATTGTCAACAACTTTGCATCGCATCAAAGTTGCATCATTGTAGCATATTTGTACCTTGACTCTAGTTAGGTGTAAAATCATGCCAAATCTATCTTCTCCTACAAACCTTGTAGTAAAAACCTCAGACGTATCTCATTCCATTCAGCTTGAGTGTATTTGTTTTTTTTATATCTTTTTTTATTGCCAAGAAATTTGACCATGAAGTTAGGGTAACATTCAGGAATGACTTTTTAACTTTTCTCTGATTTTTTGGCTGAGCTGATTTTGTTAAAACTTGGCAGGCTGGTCACATTCTGAAAAAAAAATTATTCTTGAATATATTTGCGCCAAATGTTTGTTTTACAAATCTTGGAGTAAAAAATCTGAACAATATTTGCCAATATTGGTCAAACTTGGCAGGGAGGGCACACCTGCACTCTGTTGAAGATGTACTTCTCATAGACTGTTGTCTTAATGTGTGTGTGCCTCTGTTGAAGATGTGCTTCTAATAGACAGTTGGCTTAATGTGTGTGTGCCTCTGTTGAAGTTGTAATTCTAATAGACTGTTGTCTTAATGTGTATGTGCCTCTGTTGAAGATGTGCTTCTAATAGACAGTTGGCTTAATGTGTATGTGCCTCTGTTGAAGATGTGCTTCTAATAGACAGTTGTCTTAATGTGCGTGTGCCTCTGTTGAAGATGTGCTTCTAATAGACTGTTGTCTTAATGTGCGTGTGCCTCTGTTGAAGATGTGCTTCTAATAGACAGTTGTCTTAATGTGCGTGTGCCTCTGTTGAAGATGTGCTTCTAATAGACTGTTGTCTTAATGTGCGTGTGCCTCTGTTGAAGATGTGCTTCTAATAGACTGTTGTCTTAATGTGCGTGTGCCTCTGTTGAAGATGTGCTTCTAATAGACAGTTGTCTTAATGTGTATGTGTCTCTGTTGAAGATGTGCTTCTAATAGACAGTTGGCTTAGTGTGTATGTGCCTCTGTTGAAGATGTGCTTCTAATAGACTGTTGGCTTAATGTGTATGTGCCTGTGTTGAAGATGTGCTTCTAATAGACTGTTGTCTTAATGTGTGTGTGCCTCTGTTGAAGATGTGCTTCTAATAGACTGTTGGCTTAATGTGTATGTGCCTGTGTTGAAGATGTGCTTCTAATAGACTGTTGTCTTAATGTGTGTGTGCCTCTGTTGAAGATGTGCTTCTAATAGACTGTTGGCTTAATGTGTATGTGCCTCTGTTGAAGATGTGCTTCTAATAGACAGTTGTCTTAATGTGCGTGTGCCTCTGTTGAAGATGTGCTTCTAATAGACTGTTGTCTTAAT